TGGTGGGTTGCAGGCCCATTCTGAAAAGGCTGCAAGTACCCTGAATTTCCAGCACAGAGCTTTTATTCTGAAAAGCTGTAGAAAGAGTGACTATCGGACAGCTACTTGACAAAGACGGCAAACTAGCTCAACAACATGGCCAAGTACGACGCTAAATATATTGAGCTGTGGGACCTTGAACTAATGACAAAAGAGAAATCTGGACCCTGTGGCTGCACCAGTTGGGAACCATTGTTCTATCATCTATCTATTACCCTGTAAACCACTACTGACATGTATTTCATAGAGTGATAATGTTTAAACCGGGCTACCGAACACTAAGCATCTTCCTAATGAATCCTGAAGTTGAATCAACACCTCTCTAAAACAGCTTCAACAAACACTGAACATGATGATGATGATTCATGAAGGAGATATCACTGCAGAGTTGTTGGATCAGACTGCATTAGTTTTAGCTACAAGGACAAAACAAAGCTGATCCAAAGTTTTTTTTACAGGACATAAAGAAAGAAGTAAAAAAACATGCAGCATGTAACACATGGCCTCAGACAAATACAGGGATAACGAAACGTCAGGCACAGTTAGAATAAAAGTTTACTTTAAGTTGAAAACATCAATAGCTAGAGAAGAACAAATTTAAGGAGGGAGATGTCACAGTTGTGGGGCCTCTGCTGAGAAAGCTCTATTACCACAACATTTAGTCCTTGATCTGTGGACAGACAGGAGTCTTTGGTTGGAGGATCTAAGGTGTCTGACAGTGTAGTACAGGGGCAGGAGTTCACAGATAGAAGCAGGGCTAAGACCATTTAGTGCTGTGTAAACAAAGAACAAGGTTTTAAACTTCAGTCTTCAGCTAACAGGGAGCCAGAGCGGAGAGGCAGGAATCTCAGTAATGGTGTCTGTTTTTTGATCTTGTTAAAAATCTTGCTGCAGCTTTCTGAGCTAATTGGAGATAGGATGAAGAAAACGTCTGGTGATACCAAAATACAAAAAGTTGCAGTAATGAGGCGAGTCAATATGAAGGTGTTGACAAGTTTCTCCAGGTCACAGACAGAATTCTCCTGTGTTTTCCAGCAGTAAATATCTGATAGACCAGTTTATTAAATGTTGGTCCTGAATCAAATATGACTCCCAATTTGTTTGCATATGTTTTAATGTAAGATGATGATGTCACTGATTGTAAAAAATAATATACAGAGCCACCATGATGGCACCCATTGTTTTGAAGCCTGTAGTTTGGCATTTTGGCCGTTGCCTTCTTAAATTTTTGGAGCCAGAAGTGACCATATTTTGACAAGGAGGTGGAGATAACGCTAGCTGCTAGCTTAGTTAGCACAGTGCATTTACAGCTATGGTTAACTGTGATAATACTAATGCTAGTTTTGACTAGCAAAATGGAATGGGATGGTCAAATGGCGGTACTATCTAACAGTCAGGGTTTACACGCAACACAAATTAACCACTTGCACAAATTTTTGCATGTAAAGTATTAATTAAAATTGATGCACTGTTTTTGAGAATCGACACAGTATAACAAAACGTAAAGTCGTGATACTCCAGTGTATCGATAATATCTTACACTTCTACTTTGAAGTGGCCACATATGCTTTACCTAACAGGAAATGTCTGCTGTTAGCTAACCGTTTGTCCACTTGTTTACCGCCTGTAAATGGAAACACATTAGTTCCACTTGCGTAGTTCCTGGTGCGTGCCTGCAAACTGTATGATAGTCCTGCCATTGTTAGCTGAACGGAAAAAATGCAAAGTGATCTTGCTTGAATAACCAATATTGTGTGGCGGTAGTATGTTGTTCTGTTCCCGGGAGTCTTTGAGGCATGCTCTCCCTGCCTTGGGCTTTCCATGTAGGCACATGGAAGGGCAGGGAGGTTTGCGTTCTCTGCCTCAGGCTTTAGTCATATGCACATGGAAGGGCAGAGAGGTGTGCTCTCTCTGAACTCTGGTAGATAAACGATTGGCCCCTGGGCTGGACTATGGGCATGCTTTTCTTAGAGGGTCTTTAAGTGCAGTTCTGTTGACCAGTAATTAATAAGAATCATCAAAATTCTTGATCTTCATACACACAGAGAATATAAAATAATGGACACAGAAACCGTGACGTCGCTCATTGGTTTGTGGACTCCTTTTTAAGCGCTGTCTTTGGCAATTTGGCTGGCACCATCTTGGATTTTCGGAGCCAGAAGTGACCACATTTGGACAAGAGGGTTGAGCTAGCTGCTAATCACAATTCTAGCTATTAGCTTGATTAGCACGGTGCATTTACAGCCATAATTAACTGTGATAATGCTAATGCTAGTAAAAAAAGGATTAAAACTATTCAAACAAATTGCACTTAGTGGAAAAACTGAACATCCGACTCCTTAGAGAGACTTTTATTGCAACCAAATGCTGCACAGGACTTTTTTAGACAACCAAAACATTACAGTTAACTTTCATGAATGGAACAACCACTGAAACAAGGACACCTACAACTTTAATCTGTGATTCTGGGGTTACGCCATGGTTACGTTACCTAACCAACTTTGTCGCCGTGGTAGGGACATATTATCAGACGACACCCACTTGTTACTCAAAGCCACCTCATCCTTAATTAAACATAACTTTGAGAATTATTAACATTTAAATGGGTGAGTTATATAAAAATTTACCCCTGTACAGTTCTTATGAAAGCTGAAATTAGCTATAGAAACCAAAATGTTTTTGTACCGGGCTGTAAACATGTTTATTTCTGCTGTAAAGTTAGACATTTTAACATGGGGGTCTATGGGGACTGACTCACTCTTGGAGTCAGCCTCAAGTGGCCATTAGAGGAACTGCAGTTTTTAGCACTTACACCTTGACTCCGTCTTTCAGCCTTGCACATTGCTGCTTGGGATAAACTGAGTCGTTAAGCATGAGCACTTCTAACTGATTTATTCTGGGGTCTGTTGTATGGTCAAAAATGTGCATCTTTCAACCCCTCATCATGACCTCCCTGATCTGAGTTGATCAGAGGTCAGACTCTATTTGAATATAGCACCTTTAATTCAGCATTTTTGCTTCTTTCTGCTCACTGATGTGCTGCCTGTGCTTTGGAGAAACACTCTGAAACTGAACTGTAATTGGTAATTATGTAATGTGTTCATGTGGAACAACACTACAAACAGGAGTCTTTGCTAACGGCAAAAGTCAGAGATAAACCTCCAACACAGGTTCAACACATTCAGTGAACCATCATACGCATTGTGACTTCTATATGAAAGGTTTTATGAGATCATCGTAGTTATGAAGCTGCAAAGGAAGGCAAATGTGCGTGCCGTTAAAAATCGAGATATTTTTGGGTGATCTAGCACAATGGCAGAATATAAATAGATCAAAGGAGCAGAGCGCAGAATCATTATTTCAAAGATTATGGCTCTGTGGTCAGACAGACATCACAAGTTGGCAGAGAGAGGCACAGAGGAGAAGAGAGAGCTCTGACCTCTGACGGATTACTGCAGGCTAAATGACAAACTAAGTTCATAAAATCACCAGTCAGGACTAAAGAGGTGTGGTGAATGGGGTGTCAGGAGGAGCTGGGAATGGAGCTGCCATCCCTGTGATTAGTGGATGACCTGCTCTACCTTGCTGGACACCTTATGCAAGTATGTCCATGCCCTCTGCTATGAGCTCTACATTTCTGTGCCTTGTTCTTTCATTCCTTCATCCACCTTCTTGGAAAGGTCAGCGTTATTTGCTCATTTCCAAAAACTTTTTAATGTCCAAGTCTTTCATAATGTATGAAAGTAGGTGTGTTTCTCCTTCTGACTAGAAAGGTTAGCTTTTCTCTAGGGTGTGCATCTCTGCTATACATCAGCCTTGCAAACTTGTTTTGAACAAGGTATCCATGACAATGCTCAAAATCCAAATGGAATATGATGTATCAGATTCAGAGTATTGTCATATTCGGAATAATAGTAGATCTGTAGGGATCTGTTCAACTGATTTATACAAAGGCAAGGCAGGTATAGAGGTATGAATCTCTGATCTTTGAAGTCCACGAGGGTGGTACCTTGTTCGTTCGTCCTATTGTCCAATCAGCCGAAACATTAAAACCACTGACAGGTGAAGTGAGTAAATTTGATTGTTCTGGCATTCAAGTGGATACCACCTGACATGTTCCACCCACCCAAACACCGTTGCAGCCCAAGTACCCCCCCTCATGGCAACAGTACTCCCCAATGGCAGTGATGGCCCGTGGAGCGTGACAGAAAGCTCAAGGTGTCAACCTGGCTTCTAAATTTCCCAGGCCCCAATCTGCTCAAGGATTCTTGTGATGTGCAGGTACCCCAGATGTACCCCTAATCCAAGGTGGGGCCTCCTTGGATTGGACTTGACCCTTGACACAGGATCTCTGGGAGTGTCCTGCGGTGTCTGGCACCAGTGCGTTGGCGGCAGATCCATTTAGTCCAGTGGGTCGTGAGGTGGGTTAATGGCATGTGCCACAGATGCTCATTCAGATTGGGCCAGGTTGACACTTTGAGGTCTTTGTCACATTCCTTGGGCCATTCCTGAGCGATGTTTGCAGTGTGGCATGGTGCATTATCCTGCAGAGGGGGGTACTTGGTCTGCGACGGTGTTTGAGTGGGTGGAACAAGTCAGGTGGTATCCACATGAATGCCAGAAACAAAGGTTTCCCAGCAGAACAATCAAAGTTATTCACCTGTCAGTGGCTTTAATGTTTTGGCTGATCGGTGCATATTCACCATAGAAAGGATGGGGTTGCCCTCCCTTTCCTCAGCGGTCCCCAAGCCATATCTAGGTCTCTTAAACAAAGCAGCCAAACCTTCTGTTCCACCCACCCATCCATCTCTTCTTCTCTTCTGCTCTGGGAGCTGCTCTGTCAGCTTGTTAGTTTTTCTATTAACACTATTAACAATTACTGTTAACAAAAAGTCTCGTTCCACCGCCAGCCACTTTCCATCTGCTCTGCAATCTAACTCCTCTGTCTGTTTGTCTTTCAGGAGGAGGCCGCCAAGAGTCTTTCCTCACAAAGATTATCTCCAAAGTGGTGTTTCCTTGACTGTAAGTACACCCCATTGTTCATACTCCTTCCTGATCCGTTTTTCCACTACCTGGACTCCCCACTTGTGCCGTCAACATTTTTTCCACATGTGCATAAAGTACAGACAAAAATAGCACAAATGTACTCACTGAAGATGAGTGTGCTTGCATGTGGTTTGTATTTCTATTGAAACAGGATCGGTCAGTTTTTGATGTAACGGAATGAAGTCTCTGTATCAAATAGTGAAATACGCTCTGCAGAGCGATGTATGCTATACTGTCTATGCTTTATCTCTCTAAAAGAATAGGAGGCTTTTGTTTTCAGCTTCAAATAAGTGCTAATGTATTCCTATCTGTAGTTATATCAGAACAGTTCTTTTAATCATGACCAAGTTCACTCAGCCTCGATTAGCCTGACTTCAAATCATCACATTCTGGAACAGACTTAGACTGCCAGCTGACGCTATTATCCCAATTTTATTTGAACTTTCTCTGTGATGTTTTGTTGCGTCAGCTTGTAAAAGACAGAACACTCATTAGATTTATTATTGCGAATATCATATATTCGTGTGGCCCTGGCTCAGGCCTGGACCGTGTGTCAAAATCAGTTTCAAAAATCATTGCTATTTCATTTTCTACTGTGTTCACTGTACGTTGTGCATTTCAACCTTTATAATGTGCTTCCAATGGAAACAGGACTGTACACAGACGTTTTCAGGGACTGGTGCTCAAGCACCTCTTATAATGGGGTTTGGACACAATTGTCCCTCTGTCCTCTACCACTGAAACTGGTCTGCAGTTCATTGCAATCCATTTTGCAAGGGAGTTCGTCAGTAGGTCTCAGGTAGACTCAGTTTGCTTCTGAACACCTGGGGCCGGTTGCACAAAGCACTTTAATTGAAGATTTCCCTTTAAATCTGAGTTAAGGTTTCCTTTAAATAAAATCAGTTGTACAAAACATCCTTAGGTCTTCTCCTTAAGATTCCCTTGGTCTTATACTTAAGGAATTGCTTTGAGTTCAATGAGCCTTTGCACAGAGGATCCTAGCAACCAAAGTTAGGGAAAAAACACAAGGTACCTCTGCCTGCGTCTCAACTGCTACATGGTTGAGTTCATGGTGATAGCAGTGGATAAAGATAAAATGAAGGCATCCTGAGAAGAGTGTTCTGTGACAGGGAGAACCCGATAGACACCCTTAATGATTGATTTTGCACTATAAATTTGTCCAGTGGTCAGTTTATGATTTGTCTCAACATCTTAAGTTGGATCACTCAACTTTCCTATGCTGTGCTCTTCCAGCCCTGTTACAATTAGGGATTGCACTGTGGTTTTATGTAACAGAATCTTCTCAAGCAGTTATTGGCGAGACATTTAATGTACGCAAGTCAATGGTGTGCCATGTTATTCACCAGGTCTCAAATGTCCTCACTTGTCTGCGAACACTGTGGTGAAGTTCCTGTCCAAAAGTTGCAGTTTTCTCCCACTTTCCTTGCTTCATGTTGCTGTTACTTTCGGAACAAATTTACTTTTCAGTATCTTCTTTTTTTTATTGAATTCCTCTAGAAGTATGATTGATCCTTGATCCTCCCTCTGACCAGTTTGGTTTTGTGTCTTCTTGTCCTCTGCCATTTTTTGTTCTATCAGGCCTACTTTGTGAAAGTACAGTTGGGTGTGACAATAGGTAGCCTGGGCTATCACAAGCACACGTACAAGGGTACAAGGGTCTCCATGGAAACTGTACAATTTTCCTGCTGTAAAATCTCTTTAGTCATTTTCTCATTTAAGGAAAAACTAAACCTTAAGTGTCGTACTTAGAGTGTGGAGAAAAAGAAAAAGAAATGAAAAAAAACCCCCCAAAAAAAACGCCTTGGAAGAACGGCACTTGTCCAGTCAGAATCCAAAAGGCCAGGTGCTTGAGCACCACCTGAGGTCTATGTGTGCACGTGCCTGAGCAGAAGTGATGGGTGACCAAACCCAAGAGTTAATATGCAGCTAATACGAGGATTCTTATCTTCCAATGTGACAGTATTTTAGTTTGTCCTCTCCTTGGTTCCACTGACAATGTTTCCTTGCTAAGCTGCAGTCGAAGGATAGAAACACAAAGAGGGACTTTTGTACTAAAAATACTTTAACCTTGGAAGGTACCTGTTTTGACAAACATGGCTAACTCAGTCCGCTGAAGCCTCAAACTAACTTCATAAACTTTTCTTTTTTGCCCAAATCTTCTATTGGATGCATGAAGACGGAGATCTGTTCTGTATGTGACATTCAGAGCTTTAATACAGCAGCAAACCATTATTGTCCATGTAAAGATATAGTGGACCAATGGTGTCCTGAGCAGAGACTGAAGTCATGCTACATCTATGTGTGTTGTAATCAGACGTGGTGTCGGTTGTTGTCTACTATGACACATGACATGAGATGAAACATTGGATTATCGCGTACAACACCATACGTCGCTGCATCGGGCTATAATCGGGCTGATATCGTGTGTAGTCTAGAACTAAAATATAGTCCGATTATAAGATTATGTTTTATCACTGAAATTTGAATCACAGTTGACATACGTCTGTCAGTGTTTTTGAGGCGTTTTCTTTTGAAGGGCCATTTAAATGACAGTGCTCGCCTCCCCACATGTAAATGTTCCTACAAAACAAGTTCATCCCAACACTGTTGCGTCACTGCATCCTGGGTTTAGTGCCGCTCAAGACGACTGTGACTGGTTTAAAGAAACAAAAACAAATCGGCACGATTTTTTCCTCCCATAGCAGAAAGATAATCTGTGATTCCAGACCTTTCTCTCGCACTGACAGAGTGCTGTGCTGAGAGCTCTGGCTACACAAGTCTGCTTCTAATAAGATATTAATAAGTGTCACAAATGAGAAATATACATCGATAAGCTCATGCTTGCAGACGTGCATACAGTCATAAATATGTGTTAAGCTGACAGAATAATCAGTCAATGACATCACAATAGCACAGTCTCTGCATCAAATATGAATTCACAGTTATTCGCCAACGTCTTGCGTGACAGTTGTTGAAACTGATTGATTTCTGGTTTAAAACTCAACACAGCAGTTGTAAGAAAAAAAAAAAGACTTTTCATTTAAAGGTTATCGTTAATGGAATGTGTGCACACACAAACCTGTGAGATGCAAACAGATTTCTGAGTTGGTAGTTTCTCAAAATAACATAAAGCACAGTACCATCGGATTCTGTTTATTGGTGAATGTCATGAATATTAATCCCATACAGCAGCGGCTTCCCAAAAATATCACAGAGGAAAAGCATTCGTCTTACACAATGTTATACATGCACGCATACACACCTCTGTTTGTGTGGAGTCCTGGTGGAATTTAGCCAAGAACAAAGAAAGATACAACAGCGAGCTGAATGAGAGAGAGAGAGAGAGAAGGGAGAGGTGTTTGAAGAGGACAGAGGAAATGTGTAGGTGGTTAGCAGGTGATCCGGTATCTTGTCGTCTGATGGATAAACTCAAAGAAGCATCAATAAACCTACAGTACACTGGTGACAAATTAAACTTCCTGATCAGGCGTTTAGCTTGGGAGCTCTCTGAGTCCTTTGATACTAATGATCTGCCTGAACCAGTCCTAATCTAATATTCAGATGTGTCTACATAGTACAGCTGCACGGTGCAAACTTAGCCCCATTTCTCATGTCTGTACAGTATCAAATTAAGGCAAAATATCGAAAAAGGAAAATCAGCAATCAGCCGATAAGGCTGTTACTGCAGCTGCAGACAAAAGATTTAGGGCTCATTAATTCTCCCTTTATGTATGAAAGTCAGTTTCAAACGTAAACTTCACTGCCCTTCCATGTGTCCTTTATAATGGTATGGGTGCATCCAATAGATGGCACTAAAAGGCAGAGTCAAAAGTTTCACACAACAACAGACAAGGTGGCAGCGGAGGAAGTCGTGATATTGTAACCTTAAATGGAGGTAGCATTGTAGATATGGTCTGTGCGGCCATTGTATACATCCTGACATGGACGTATCTTGTTTAAACTAAGCCACACTGCCCCCACAATGTCCGGTGGTACTGCTCTGGTTCATCTGTATCCGTAAGCTTTCAGAAAATGTGCACAAACGTGGACAAACTGATCAGAGTACGGACAGAAGGTTCGATCTGTGTCCGTAACAGTGCGCTGAGCTGAAAACAGGGTATTGCAATTTAGGTAAAGTAAACTTTATTGTCCCCCAAGGGAAATTCGTCTTGGGCAATTTGTGTACCACTTACTGTGTTCACTATGTGGCACTAGAGAACACACATTACCTATATGACATGTTATTGTATATCACTTGTAGACCACACAGTGTAAATTCGCTGTAAATCAGATGATCTTTGTCACATAAGGCTGACTTCCTGTTGTCAGTAGCTGGTGCTATGACTATGAGTCAATATGGGCACATAGATCTCTTCAGGCCTGGATTCTTATGCAGCATGTGAAATCTCAACCTGGTCTCACTCTGAAGTTGTCGAATACTGGCGCTTGGGCAGTGACTTCCCTGATACGTGGCCATCAGGGGTAACCGCAGCAGGACAGCAACATAAGTTAAGAGAGTCCAAGTAGGGCCAATTGGAGGGGTGGCAGTGTTTGCTTCCTGTATATTGTAAAGCCATACCCTGTTCTTTTTTCCCTAAACCCAACCATATACCAGTTAACCCAGTTATAATACAGGCAGATGTAAAGCTGTGATGAGCAACATGATGTGGTAGAAGTTGTTCAGGTTCCAAACTTAAGGTTAGAAATTATTTCTGTCACAAGTCCCAGACAACAATAAGTTTCCTCTGAGGAAGACTCTCAACAGGATTTCCAAACTGTGAGTGTGTCATCACAACTCTGTTTCACTCCAAAGTCATCGAATATTGGTGCTTAGGTAGTGACTTCTGACGTCAGACACCAACGAAAAAGCTGTCCTTTCGCATTAAAGGAATAAACGTTAATTTGTGGCGTTGTATCTGCAATTTATTTTGAAAGAGACTGTATGTAAACTGTGCATTTCCTGTGTAAACATAAGTGTATTTTGAAAAGAGACAATGCATGTAACAGGTAACAGGTAGGCAGCTATACCTTGCATGACATATGTCTACGTGGAAAGTCCTTGACCAATCGTCAGTATGTGACGATGTCAGAGTCTGTTCAAAATCTAGGGCGGATTGGACTATGTAAATTATACCCTGCAATTGCAACAAAAACTCACATTTTGTACAATAAAGTATCAAGGTCTTGAGGCTTTTTTGGACAAATCTGAGGTAAATCTGGTCAACCTGTGAAGGGTAGTACATTAAAGAAATAAGCGTTAAACTATAAAGCACAAACGTTCAAGATCTGGGCAGATTGGACCATTTACAGTTGAGTTACAAACCACTTCCTGTTTCCAGTAAAACATGGAAATTTGAAGACAGCTACCCTGTTCCACGAAAACTCACAAACTTAAAAGCATCATCAAGGTCTTGAGGCTTTTCTAGACAAATTTGAGTTGGGTCCGGTCAACTTGCTTGGAGGAAGACATCAAAGTATAAACCATGTCATTTTCTGACCATAACTAAATATCAGCACTTAGATCTCTTCAGACCAGGACATGTGAAGCTTGGGGCAGATTTGACCATTTACAGACATGTTATAAACCGCTTCCTGTTTCACGGTCAAACATCGAATTTGATACCTTGCCATAGCCAAACCATTGGACAAAGACTTGAAAGCTTCGCAATTTAGCATCGCCAACATCTTGAGTACTGCTCAAATTTGAAGATGATCGGCTTAAATCTCTCGGCCCAAGAAACGAGACACATAAAATATCAAATTTTTCACTTCTGATGCGTGTGGAAACATTCCATGAGTCTTAAATACCTTTAGTCCATGCGATTTATTTCCTGACATAAAAATAAGTAGGGTCCTCATATCAATCGGTGTTCCGGCCCGAGGTAGTGGAAACGACTAGGCCTATACCGATATGTCTGGTATTGATCCACTATTATTGGTGTCAGTTAAGGTTGTAGTTCTGTATCCTTCAGCAAAAGTGCTTGTTGGATTGTTTGTGTCTGAAGGCTCCTTTCAACAGTGGGAACATTTTGGAAAGTTGGGTCTGAAAATGTGCAGTCTTCTCATGTACAATTTAACAGAGTGAATTGTACTAGCCTTTTGGCTAGAACCTTTTTAGTGACAAGATAATTGATTAACACTGTCTCTCGCTTTTGTCTCTTAAGCTACAACAGCAGATCGTTTCTACAGGATAGACAGAGCACAGGTGAGTCTATCCCAACTTGCTTCACCTCACTTCCACAGATAATATTTCTCTATCACTGCCTCTCTCTGCGTCTGACTGGTGATCAGCTTGTGTCTTCTGGATAGAATTATCTGTAAATATAAACAGATTAAAATGACTTTTTGTTTACTCGAAAACGCGGAGGAGTTGGGGGACTTTTTGCAACTGTGAGTCATGCCTGCAGCCCTCCTCACCATCAGCATAGGGCCAAAACAACCTACCTCCAAGAAGATATGCCAGCTCATCTCAAGGCTCACATTACCGTGCAGCAGTGGAAGCAGATGTCCACTGTTTCATTAGCATGAACAGGATATGGTTCCATGCCAGCTTCTTAATTATTCCCATTGGTTGGGTAGTACTTGGCATATTTGGCATATCAGCCTGACAAGTGGTTCACACACCACAGGTACAGTGGCTCCTATTGCTGCATTTGGTTAATCTGTCTCGTTAATATTCGGTGTCACTATCAAAAGGCACGGTGCTAGAATTCCTGAGATACTATACCAGTCAAACAGTTTATGAGACAATGGGCCCCAGGGTGCAGATATAAGGCCTCACCACGTCTCCTACACACAGACCTGGTGGTGGTTTGGCTCTTTATAATCTTGTTTTACGTCTTTTTTGTAGTCACTATGCATCTTTACTCTGTTGTACTTTTGTGTGTGGTCATTTTGTGTCTACTTGTAGTTGTTTTGTGCTTCTTTGAGGTCATTTTATGTCTTTTTGGTCAGTTTGGTCATTTTATTTGTCTCTCTGTTGGATTTTTGTGTATTTTTTGGTAATTTCGTGTCTCTTTCTAGTTGTTTTGTGTCTCTTTCTAGTCATTTCGTGTCTCTTTCTAGTTGTTTTGTGTCTCTTTCTAGTCATTTCGTGTCTCTTTCTAGTCGTTTTGTGTCTCCTAGTCATTTCGTGTCTCTTTCTAGTTGTTTTGTGTCTCTTTCTAGTCATTTCGTGTCTCTTTCTAGTCGTTTTGTGTCTCCTTCTAGTCATTTTGTGTCTCTTTCTAGTTGTTTTGTGTCTCTTTCTAGTAATTTCGTGTCTCTTTCTAGTCGTTTTGTGTCTCCTTCTAGTCATTTCGTGTCTTTTTCTAGTTGTTTTGTGTCTCTTTCTAGTCGTTTTGTGTCTCCTTCTAGTTGTTTTGTGTCTCTTTGTGGTCATTTTGTGTCTCTTCTTGGTTAGCCTCCACCTCTTGTAGTTATTTCGGATCTCTTTGTAGTCATTCTGTCTACTTTGTGGTCATTTTGTGTCTCTTGTTGGTTGGCCTCCCCCCTTTTGTAGTTATTTTGGATCTCTTTGTAGTCATTTTGTCTGTTTTTGTTGGTCATTTTTTGTCTCTTTGTAGTCTTTTTGTGTCTCTTTTTGGTTGGCTTGCCCTTTTTGTAGTTATTTTGTGTCTCTGTGTAGTTATTTTGCGTATTTTTTTGGTCGTTTTCTCTGTGTCTTTATAGTCATTTTGTGTCTCTTTGAAGTCATTTTATGTCTTTTTTGGTCAGTTTGGTTATTTTATTTGTCTCTCTGTCGGATTTTTGTGTATTTTTTGGTCATTTTAGTCATTTTGTGTCTCCTTCTAGTCATTTTGTGTGTCTTCTTGGTTAGCCTCCACCTCTTGTAGTTATTTCGGATTTCTTTGTAGTCATTCTGTCTACTTTTTGGTCATTTTGTGTCTCTTTTTGGTTGGCTTACCCTTTGTGTACTTATTTGTGTCTTTGTGTAGTTATTTTGCATATTTTTTTGGTCATTCTCTGTGTCTTTGTGGTCATTTTGTGTTTCTTTGAAGTCATTTTATGTCTTTTTTTGGTTATTTTTTTGTCTCTTTGTGGATTTTTTGTGTCTCTTTGTAATCATTTTGTGTCTCTTCTTGATTAGCCTCCCCCCTTTTGTAGTCATTTTGTCAATTTTTTGGTCATTTTGTGTCTCTTTGTAGTCTTTTTGTGTCTCTTTTTGGTTGGCTTACCCTTTTTGTAGTCGTCATTTTATGTCTTTTTTGGTCAGTTTGGTCATTTTTTGTCTGTGTTTTTCCTGGTCATTTTGTGTCTCTGTTGTTATTTTGGAACTCTTTGTAGTCATTTTGTCTATTTTTTGGTCATTTTGTGTGTCTTTCTAGTCGTTTTGTGTCTCTTTGTAGTCTATTTGTGTCCCTGTCTAGTCATTTTCTGTCTCCTTCTAGTCATTTTGTGTCTCTTCGTGGTTGGCTTTCCCTGTTTTGTAGTTAGTTTGGATGTCTTTGTAGTAATTTTGTGTATTTTTGGTCATTTTGTGTCTCTTTGAAGTAATTTCGTGTCTCTTCCTGGTCTGTACCTGTTAATTTGTGTGACATTTTGCAGACGAAGGCAAGAGGGTGCCCTGGCATTTTGGGCCCATTTAGTAATCCATGCTGGCAATTGATTGAAATTATGGAGATATGTAAATTTGGCAAACTTGTTAATTTATCTTGTTATGTTGAGCTGTAATTGTAGCGTTTTAAGTTATATAGTTTTCCACTGCTGGTCTGAGGTATGTGGAAAAAAGAACACTGCAGTATTAGTAGAAGGCGACTGCACAATCTCTTGATTTAAACAGAAGTTTTGGGACTAATTAAACGATTTTAATTTGCAGTGCTTATAGCGTGAACACAGTGTGCCTCTGTTTTCAGTAACGTTAATTTAAAAACAGAGTGCTGGATCACCAGCCTCAGTGCTTGACCTGAACCTGAACCCTTCTCCAAACTTTATTGTTACCCGACATCGCCATGCTCAGTGCCGTTACGTTGTATGTACAGTGCATGACACGGGTTTTCTGGAAGTGATTGTCAGTGAGCATTGTGATCCAGTCTATATTCCACTCCTCTCGGTCTTTTTCATCCACATCTACACAGTTGTCTGGTGTTAATGTGGCAGTGGGAACATTCTTCAGAAAGCAGGTGTTCCTGCTTGAGGCCATCTGACATCATCAAAAATGCGATCGCTGAGAGGAGGTACACAGGTGGTGAATAAAAGCCACCTCACAGTGCCTCCCCACTCAGTAACATATGGATATGGATATGGATGGAGAGACATTTATTTAACTCAAAGAATTATGGCAAATTATGTCGTCTACTCTTCTCTGGGTTATATATATATATATATGTATGTACTCATTTTTTTCCATATCTCAGAGCCAATGGTTGCTCACATTTTGCTCAGATTTCTTTTCCTTTATTGATGTTATTTGTCTCTCGTTATTGCAGTATTGCAAATCAATAAGCTGCTTTATGGTAATATTGACTATTTAGGGAATTTTGTGTTAGCGTGACTGGTGAATATCATAGTGAGCTTCCTTCACAGCAGCGTCCTGGTCTGGTGATACCAGTATGAACTGACTGTTTGGTTAAAACTGTCTTACACTTCATGTTTTATCAGGAACATCTCAACTACGTATCCGAAATCTCCCAAGAAGAGATCTTCATCCTGGACCCTGAACTGGTTTTGATGGCAACAGTTGCCACCTCCCCGACTGCCATGCCTGACCTGGTTAACCCCGCCTCCAGCCTGGTAAACAGCAGGTAAGTCAATCACCACCACGCTGATCCTGTTATACCCCTTTCCGCCAACTTTGAACAAGCTCTGCTCTGGTTGCCACGACTACTTTTGAACCATTCATTCATTCAGGTGTTGTACACTCTGGACAGGTCGCCAGACTATCATAGACACATAGAAACAGGCATCCATTCACGCTCACATTCACACCTACATCATCAGTTAACCTAACATGCATGTCTTTGGACTGTGGGAGGAACCCGGAGTACCCAGAGAAAACCTACACCAGAAGGTCTTCCCCACCCTGGGTTCGAATTAGAAAAGTTGGTTCCCAGCTGGAACCAAAACAATGCAGGTTTTCCTTGACCTGAAGTGCATGACATCATATTGTAGAGGTTGGAAATTCTCTTGCATGTTATTGTCTTGTACATCTTTTTATCATTAACTGTTGGTCCATGTTTTTTGGATGCAAGTCAAAGTCTTCCTACTACCTACTACATCCAGTGTGCATTGTGCAACACCTTTCATTGATGACACATCCTTGATTACAGTAAGTCTGATTGAAACTGGTGGAAACAGGCTGGTTCGGCTAGATAGCACCAAGGTTCCAAGAGTCCCGAATGGAGCTAATTCAAGAACCAGGGCTAATTTGGTGGACTTTAACCCTTACCTTACTAACCAGAGCCATTGTTTTAGGACTGCTACAACAAAAGCTCTAGAACAACTAACCGGCATCAAGGACAACTATGAATTTACAGAGAAAATCCAGTTTAAAGAATGAATCCATCTCGTCCCTGCAGGGGTAGAAGACCTAATGCAAACACTGATGAGTTTTTTAGAGATACATGCAGCAGAGGAGGCAACTTGCCGAGATATTGGAGGAACGGATAAGAAAATATATCATTGCACTGATAATAAATACCACTTGCAAATTAAGGGTACAGGATTTGGAAAGGGTATTGCTCTAATATTTGCAGATGTATCCGGCACAGAAGAGACAGTGTGATAAAAATCACGATCCAACCACTGCAGAATTATTCAGGTGGCATTTGGGAAAATGGAGACACATCACGGAAGAATTAATTTCATTCACAGCAAAACTAAACTCTCAATATATCTCAACCATGGTTGAATTTGACACAAACGTTGACCCTGGTTCTAGTTTTGTCATTTCCTAGTGCAGCATTATTTGGTAAAGCACACATTCATGCACGTGCTTATACCAGGTACAATATCTTAGAGGAGAAGATGACTGCACTGGGAGAAGTTTCCAACCCTCCTCAAAGAAGTATAAACCGCTGTGTCACGTCGCTGAGCTAAACTTCCTCGGTTGGTAGTTTATCTTCTGCCTGTACCCTGTAGAAACACATCGGCACCAAAGCAGTCATTTGCAGAATACAAAGTCCGTGTTTCGCAAGCGATTTCCACAAGTGTCGCAGCAAGACGCTGGACCCCAAATTGCTCCTGATGATAAGAGCTCCTAGTGCCTTATATGGTAGCTTACTGCCAGCACTGTGTGTGTGTGTGTGGGTGTGTGTGTGTGTAAGTGAATGAAAGGGAAATAGTGCTTGGGGTAAAGGTGCTATATAAATGCAGTACACTTCTCATTTACCAGGTCCCAAGTGAAGTCCCACTGCTGCCTTGCTTTCGTTCATGTATTGCATTATGGGACAATGGTGTAGCTCTATAGTGCACTTAAAAGTCCAGTTATTATAATGAACCTCCAAGCCGGCGATAGCTATTGTCTGTCTGTCCATTTATATGTATGTGTCTCCATACCATTTACATGAACCTGAGAGAACAGGGGAATTTCTTCAAATTTGGCACAAACGTCCACTTTGACTCAAAGATGAACTGATTAGATGTTGATGGTCAAAGGTTAAGGTCAGTGTGACTTTTAGTCCATCTTATTCACGTGAACATGATATTTCATAAAGGCCTTGAGGGAATTTCCTCAAATTTGGCACAAACGTCCACTTTGACTCAATGATGAACTGATTAGATTTTGATGGTCAAAGGTTAAGGTCAGTGTGACTTTTTGTCTGTCTTAATAACGTGAACATGATATTTCATAAAGGCCTTGAGGGACTTTCCTCAAATTTGGCACAAACGCCCACTTTGACTCAATGATGAACTGATTAGATTTTGTTTTTCAAAGGTCAAGGTCATTGTGACCTCACAAAACTTTAGTTTGGCCATAACTCAAGAATTTCATTTGCTAATTATGACAAAATATAACACAAATTTCTAATGGGACAAAATGATGGCGTAATGATGGATGATCCATCCATCCATCCATCCATCCATCCATCCGTACTTAGTCTGTACTTTCCATTCACGTGAACCTGATATCTTAAGAACATCTTGAGGGAATTTCTTCAAATTTGGCACAAATGTCTGCTTGGTTAGATTTTGATGGTCAAAGGTCAAGGTCACTGTGACCTTGTGTCCCTCTCATTCTCTTGAAAGCAATTTCTCAAGAAGACCTTGATGGAGTTTCCTTAAATTTGGCACCAGTGTCCACCTGGACTCTTGGATGAACTGATTAGAATTTAGGGGTTAAAGGACAAAGGTCACCATGACCTCACAAAACATGTTTTTGGCCATAACTCAAGAATTCTTATACTGAGCATTACAACATTTTACACAAATGTTTTATGGGGTAAAATGATTAAGTGATGGCAGTTTGTATCCAATATGTCAAAGGTCAACTTCACTGTGACATCATCATGTTCTGCATCTGCACTTTTCTGGCCATTATTCAATGTCATATCTCAGGAACAGAAGGGGTGACATTTGGTCAGATACTGAATTGGTGACACTAATCTTTGGTGTCCACCTTGAAACTGTGCTGATTGTATAGATCTTCTGTGCTGTTTGGTTGAAGATGTGTGTGAAGCATTTATGTTTTCGAATTAGTAGCTTCTCTTTGCTCCATATGAGTCTTGACAGGCAGGGACGTAAACTCTAACTGCAATTTGACTTGTTCATGGAGGCGGTAATTCTAGTTTGGTATGTATTTTCTTTAATTTTATTTGGATCTCATGTCCTAAAATGTATGATTCCACACTTCAAGATGTTTTTGCCAAATATCAGGCAGATGAAACATAATTGCTGCCTGGGTTATGTTTACTCTGGATGTTTTTTCCCAGTCCAGAAAGTAATAGTTTGTTATACTGCACAGAACTTTTAGAGAGGTGGCTGGGATGGATGGTGGGTGCACAAAGCGCAGGACTTTGAGAACAGGGTTTGCATCCTCATTATGTTGATATAAAACATAATCTGGGTGGCATTCCCTTTTTCTTTCCAAACACATTGCTGCTGCAAATTAGACGAGTATAAATTGTAAGGTTGCTTGGGTAAATACACTGCATACTCATACATACAAATGCCTGTGTAGCAAGGCTGCAATTTATTTGTATAGCAGTGTTCAACAACAAGCCTATTCAAAGTGCGCCACATAAGGAAAGCATTAAAACAAGAAATAAAAGAAGCACAAAGCAATCTAAAAAGACCCAATATTGTGATTTAAAAGGATTAAAACAAAAACAAATGGAGGATTAAAACAGGCTAAAATAGAATAAAACAGATTAAAAAGAATAATTTAAATTACAGTGCAGTTACAGTGCAGTATGACAATTTTTTTTCCAAAGTTAATTCAATAAAATGACTTGGCAAAAAGACTGAAAGAAAAGGTGAATGCTCCTTCTCTGTGCTTAGTTTGACCCTGGGGACAGGAAGTAGACCTGTCCCAGATGATCTGAGAGGTCTGGACAGTTCAGCAGATCAGACTTGTATTTTGGCCCTAAACCATTCAGCTTTTAAAGTCAGTTTTCTTGACATGCAGGAAGTGAATGTCGAGGTCTGAGAACTGGATTAATATGGTGTCTCTTGGAATTAGTGAGGGACTGTAGAAGCGGCATTCTGTATCAGCTGCAGCTGTCTGATCTGAGACCTGTAAAGACAGCAATTACAGTAGTCTAGTCCACTGAAACACATGAAGTTTTTCCAAATCCCACTAAGTCCTTTAATTCTTGATATATTCTAAAGGTGATAGTGGCATCGTCAGCGCTTGGCAAAACATGGCATTAACAGTCATTTACCATCCCTATTGTATGGTGGATGAACTCATCCTTTGCTTGGAATGGAAGGAGCTTCCGCACCTGATTGTTTTCCCTAATTTGCGGACATTCTTTTTCTTCTGTTCTTCTTTGAGTTACCCGCTAACTGCTATCAGCTGCTTTTTAAAACTCCTGGGCGGATTGCACACATAACATGTCATCAAAACGTCCCATCCATGGTCCCATCCTGCCAGCTGTCCCTGTTACACAGACATAGATTTGGCGCTTTTACTACCTCTGCTGCCTTAAAGGCAAGACAACTCTCTCCCCCATTCCACTATTGTACCTTTTATAGAGATTGGTGAGGAGAAACAAGGGCGCAAAATTCCTGCCTGTAAGATTGCCAGCTGGCCGTTGTAGACAGCATTTCACAAAGTCTGTAAAGTTTCCCTTAACGCAACATTTCATTGCGGTGCAATCAAGACGTGTCCGACAATAATAACCGAGGGTAAGCCCAAACTCAATGCTGCATTTTCTTGTCTTTCTTTCTTTTTTTTTAACTTCATCTTGATATGCCTCATTCATTACACAATATGAGCGCAGAGTGTGACTGTGGGCAGCTTACCTACCAACACTGTACACTGATGAAAGGCAGTGTTAATACAGTGCATTTTAATTTGCATTCTAAAGTCTCAAACAGATCTCGGGAAATGCAAATTAACGCCTACAACAGTGTGGTGAAAATGTATCAGTTGGCTATTCAACCGGTCCAAACAGATGCCAACAAAGAAAAAAAAAACACTCGTCAAAAAATTCCACTCATTTCACAAAATGTTTTGTGAATGGAGCATGAATATTTTGTCATTGTTAATTTAGTCTAAATTCAACAATTCAATGTGATCCTTACTTGATAAATAATGAATACAGGTAGTTAGGAATGACATAACTTTAAAATGACCATCTAA